TGACTGTATTCATTAAAGGGAATGAAAGTTCTTGGTGTGTTTATGTGTTTGTGCTGATTCATCTGAAATGCCAAGGGAGACACATTATTTGTTTCAAGAGAAGGAAATAGTCTCTGAACATCAGTGGCAGGTGGTTTTTCTTTTAGAGATTTAACATTTTAAATGATATGAGTCTATAGAATACTCTAAAAGTAAATAAAAGTTAAAAACTATAAATGTTATTCTTTCTGACAGTGATGATCAAAATGAGAGATGCAGAAAGCAGGAAACATTTTCCAATGTGCAAACCTTCAGACAAATGATATCTTTTACCTCTGTCCCACACACATGCTTGCACTGTCTGAATTGTGATTTGTTCTACATTGCTGCTCTGACAAATTGTTATTCATCTTTCAAGATTCTTATGGAGACTCTGAATCTGTGTCTACCCTACCTCTTTGTAAAGCTAGTTCTATCCCTCACTGTTACTTTCCTTGTTTTAATTTACTTAGTCCTAAGCCTGCTTTCTCCACTGCATATTAATTTGGAACATAGTCTCTGAATGCAAAGCTACTGACAGTGGAGTTAGCTGCCCTCAGCAGTGACATGGTCAGGTCAGTCTCCTCCCAAAGAGGTCAGCACACCCCAGGAAAGAGGAATCCTGGCACCATGGTGGCCTCTGAGAACAGCTGGCTGAGAAGCAGGCAGGACTAGGCCAGTTCGAGAGTGCACAGTGAGTGCAGGAGAGAATGAGTTAGCCGGGACTGTCCTTGCCGTCACCTTTGCTCAGCTTGACTATGGGATAGACATCTGCACAAAGGAGGTGTTGGTATGGAAAAATATATCCAAGTGAGAGACAATAGAGAATTCTTGAAGGAAAAATCATGAGCAAAGATGTTGTGTGTTTATGAACAAACAAGAAAGCATTAAATTATTATAGAAATTTAAGATCACAAAGACTGATCAAAGTAAGAATTAAAAAAAAATGATGATGGATGGTGTTGAAACTGATTGTCAGCAATACAGCAAGGGCAGAGAAGCTCCTTTAACTAAGTCTGAACAGACTTCATCTACCTACCAGCAATGGTAGGTCACTGGTCCTACAAAGCTTCTCTGCTAAGGGTCAGAAATTCTGGGACCTCACCATGTCAGTGTTCTTCCACCACTCACCCCTTCTATACCCCACTATTTGATAGTTGCTGCCCCAAGACTATGTAAGATATATACAACATATTGTGTTGTATCTTAACAATGAAACATCTTGTTTCTGCTATTCATCACATAGTGTAAAAATGCTTACATTTTCATCACTCAACTTTTCAACTGAATATGCAAAACACACCAGTCCATTTTCTTTCCCTGACTCTTCACAGCTCTACTGTATCTCTCACCCCCAGTTTTTCTTTTGTCCGTGGTGTCCCTGCTGATTAGAATGTCCTCTGTCCTTTGTCTGATATGCAACCAAAGGAATATCTCCTTCAGGACTCTGCTCAGGAGAAGCTCTGTCAACATTCCCACTATCACACTCCAGCTCTGCAGAAAGACTGAGAGTGGCTCTTCTTTCCCAAGGTGGCAATGTGCAAGTGCATGGGCTCTGCCATGCCTGCACGCCACTGAAGGTGGCTACTCTCGGTCCTTCCCTTGCCCCACACTAGAAGGTGGCAAGTTGCAAAGTTGTGGGCTCTGCCCCATGCCTGTACACCACTGAAGGTGGCTACTCTCGGTTCTTCCCTTGCCCCACACTAGAAGGTGGCAAGTTGCAAAGTTGCGGGCTCTGTCATGCCTATATCCCACTGAAGGTGGTTACTCTCTGTTCTTCCCTTGCACAGCACCAGAAGGTTGAAGAAAGGTCCTAGATCTGCATGGCATCATCTCATTAGTGTCTAGGAGAATGTCTAGGATACAACAGATGCCAAATCTATGCGTATTCAAAAACAAAAACAAAAAAGGGAAAAACCCAACAGCTTTAGCTTTGCCATTTATCATGGACTTCAGTGATGACCTTACTTAAACCCTTTCTGGAAACCTCCATTAAGTATATTAGTGGCAGATTGCTTGGTATCAGTCTCAAACTTATCACTTTCTGGTTGTGTCATACTGATACAAGCCTATTTCCTCTGTCATATTGTTATGTCCATTAATAATATCTGTTATTTGATAAGTTGTATCAAGGTAAAATGAGGTGATTAGGGTGAGCCCTAATCCAAAGTGCCTGCTTCCCTTCACAAACTGAAGTCAGGACATATCTGCAGAAGGACAATGTCAAGGAACATGAGGAAAATATAGACACTTCTACCCCAGACAGAAGGCTGTCAGTATTGCAAAGAGTGCTCAGAATGAAGTCAGACTGTCAGTTCATTGGTTTGGCACATGTAGACCTCAGACTGTGAGGTAGTCTATTTGCATTGTTGGAGGAAATCATATTTGATTAGTGAACCTCTAGCAAACTAATACTGCACCACTGTCTCCTGGGACCCAGTTTAAAATGCTCGAATTTTGTGATTCCCAGTTCCTAGCTATTGGAACTTTGATAATCGCCACTAAGTGACTCTTACTCATTTAGCCATATGTCCCACAACCACCAGGGACATAGAGGTCTTTACCTCTTCTCCCAGAGGAGAGCTATTATTCCTCTTGTCTCCCCATCTATGGAATATGCATAGCACATGTCCTGAGCATGTCACCCCTTTCCAGTTCATGATTTGCAAGGCCTTCTCCTATTATATGCCTAACTGTAATCAAGTCCTATGTCATTGTTCCTCTTCATGTCATTTTTCAATTTAGGAGGCATGTTTAAGTATTTGTTGTATGCCAGGCTAGTATGTAATAGAAAAGAAATAAATTCTAGATATTACTTTTTTGTTGTTGTTGTTGTTTTTGAGACAGGGTTTCTCTGTGTAGCTTTGAAACGTTTCCTGAAATTCACTCTGTAGCCCAGGCTAGCCTTGAACTCATGGAAATCTGACTGCTTCGGCCTTCCCAAGTGCTGGGATTAAAGGTGTGCACCACCACCGCCTGGCAACATTACTTTTTTTAAAAAACATTTTCTGGTTGTCAGATCTCACCAGGTACTTTTGGGGGCTTATTATGATATAATTTTATCAATTTGTATTATACAGTTCATATATTGAATTCAACATATTCTCATTTCTTTGATCATCAAATGGAGTCTCAAAACATTAAATAATATCCATGTATAATGTGACCATAATGGATCTCAGATGAACTTCATCTATCTCTTCTAGGATTTCTCCCTGTGAATTTATACCCGTGTTATAAAGTCCATATCAAGTATGCCTTGTTCATAAGATCTCTGATCACCCTGGACAGAAATATCAGAGATACTTCAACTTTGTTATTCATTATTCCAGTTTATATTTTATGCCTCTATATACTCTCTGTCAATTTTCTAGAAGACTTCATACTTTTGAAATGCTGCAGTTTGCATTTAAAGTGTCCCTTGAGGCTGATTTAACAAATACTTAGTCCTAAATGCAATGTTCAAAAGGGGAATGATCATGCAGTGTGGGCTTTACTTCATCATTGGATTAATCCTGGACTCTTCTTTGGTAGCATTATTGCAAGAAAAAGAAACTTTTCAAGCTGGGACCTAGTGGGAGGAAATATTTGATGTTAACTGTTAATACATTTTGTTATAACAATCTGTTAACAGATTTTGTTATGCAACTTTGAAGGTCACAGAGGGGAATTTTATTGGAGACTACACCTTTTCCTAAGCCTGTTTCTGGGCCTTCCTGCTTCCTGCCCATAATGAGATGAGCAGATTTCTTTGACCACCTGTGCCCAAACATGGTGCTCAGCTTCGCTCAGTCCTAGAGCTCATGGATTGAACACCTCTGGAACTGGGAGACCAACTTATCCTTCATGCTCTAAGGTTCTTTTTCTCAGACACCTTGTCACAAATGGAAAAGGTGAATAACACATGAATCAAAGGGCCAACTATAAAATAGAATATGTTTTTCTATTACAGAAAAGTCTAGTCTTCAGTGGGAATTCATCATTTGCTAAACCCAAGGTCAAAGTTCTCGCTTGTGTTTAAATTCACATAGCAAAATCTACATGAAAGTCAACTGGTATTAGTTGTCCAGAATTTAATAATTTGTATTCTGTTTCAAAATCCTTAATAGGCACCAAATTATATAGTATCAAAGAACACATTCTAAGTTGAAATATTACACTGAGTTTAAATAGTTAATGGAATAAACATAGGAAAATGAAGAGAAAAATACACCAATTAAAGTCCACAAAGCTAAAAAACAGTATGTGAAAGTATGTAATGAAATGAACAATTCTATCATTAAGTGAAATTATACACTTAACTAAGGTTAAAAAAAAGGCAAGGGTCTTTTGCACATCAATCACAAACATTTTAGGATACAGAAAAACTATCTGAATTACTACAATCTCACAAGTACTTTTACTAAATTTTATTATATCTATCCACATTAACAGATACAATTAACATTTGTAGACATGACATCACAATATGCTGAGTGGCCAACACTTTGCAGAGTTTCAAAGAGTCTTAATTGTTTGTCTTGGTACAGATTCCCAGAGCAGAAGTGGAGCTGTGGTGTGTTTTGTGGAATCATTTTGCTTTGGCAATCAGAGTCTGATTCTAGTAAATCTTTTCTCAGAAATACAATTTTAACTTGCAGTAACAACATCAACAACATGAAAGGCTTAGCTGCACACTTGTGAATCCAGTCATGAATTTGCTAGATTCATTCAGGTCAACAGCACTTTGAAAACCCATAAGATTTCTGAAACTTGTCCTGGCCATGTGCCTAAATATAAAAGTACAGACATCCTAGTAATTAGCTGGGCAATATGGGGTAAATGAGATGAGCAAGCAATTCACCCTGTGTCCTCCATTAGTGATAATGAGAGCTGTGCAGTTAAACCTCTCTCTCTTCCTTTTGTTTTCATGTCCTTTGCAGGGTCCATTCCAAAGCATTTGCTTTTTGTCCCATGCCCCACCCAGGACAATACTTACTTACCTCACTTATGAAGGATTTGGCTGTGGCAGGATTCATAACAAGGATGGCTCTCCTAAGAGTGTCTCGGTAGCGATTCAACTCCTCTATCCTCATAGTGTCAAAGAGGGTGGTGATCATTTTATTGATATTGTTTTCCACCTTTTGAAGGGCAACGTCCATTCCCTGCTGGGATACTTTGTCCAAAAATTCCTGTATCCCACGGATATCTAGGAACATTACAACACAGGAGAAAAAAAGTCTTTTTACTTCTGAGCAGTTTCTTGTTCAACAAGGCATACATTCTCAGATTTATTTATGATTTGGTTTAATTAATATCTTTACATGTAAAAACAGGAATTAATGCAAAGGGATGTATTTCTATCCACTTATCATTCTGAGTTAATTAAATAGTGGGGAAAATTGGTTCATGGTAGATAGGGGTGGAGAAGAGGTTCATCTCAATAAAGCATGCATAATTTCTTCAGCATTAAAGAGGAATAAACAGAAACAGTGTAGACATTAATTTTGTCTGTTAACAGCTTTAGTACTGAATCTCTTGGTTTTCATGGTGGAAATGGATTATATCTATCACTCAATTTTAGCCTATCTTGGTAAATGAGTTCAAAGTTACCTCTTCAGATGGAGAAATGTTACAGTAGCAATTGGAGACCCATTAACGGAAAACTATTTCCTCTTGATCAAATGAATGAAATCTACCTCTGGCCTGGGTAGAGTCCTGATTTTTCTAACTACACAAAAGGTATTTCAGTTGGGCCCCTTGGTTTAGAGACCATCCTAAGGAAGGCAATTTCACCTAGTGCCAAAAGAAAGAGATGAGAGGAATAATTATTCCCTTAATTAGGTAAAGTCGTTTCCTCCCCTTTGTGTGGTACAGTCACTACAGGACTGCCAGGATCCTGTTCTATCTCTCCACCTTTTAGCTTCAGGAGGTATAACTTGATTTTCCTCCTTTTTTGTCTCTTTCTTTTGGATGCCAGACAGAGCCTAAGTGTGGTGATATTTTGTTTGTTCTCTAACAAAGCTTGCCTGGAGACCAGAGTGGGGAGCTAGGCCCTAGAGGCCGGGCAGTGGTAGCACACACCTTTAATCCTAGCACTTGGGAGGAGGAAACAGGAAGTGATAAAGCTGGGTGGAAAGAGGAAGTGATGAGGCAGTGTGGAGACAGGAGCACAGCCTTTTCAGTCTGAGGATTCCTAGAGGTCAGAAGTGTTTCTAGTGGCTGGCTGCTCTGCTTCTCTGATCTTTCAGCTTTTACCCTGATATCTGACTCCGGGTTTGTATTACGATACTGAGAATTCACAATACACCTAAGTATATTTTCTCTTGTACTTTGGGCTTTTTTTTTTTTTTGTTTCTTCACTTAAACCATGTAGCTGTTTGTAGAACCTCCACACATAACTCAAAGACATGGTTTTTCTCTGTTTTTCCTGTCCATAGCCCTCCTCTCTGTATAAGAACAGATTTACAGCTTTCCCCCCTTCTAGCTTTTCTCTCAAATTCTAATAAAATTGTCTTTGTGCTTCAAAAATAAACAAAACACACCACACTCTTTTTCCTCCAATTTCTTATATCAGGGAAGCCATTCATGTCATTTATCATAGTCCATAATCACAAAATGTGTTACTATCATTACTGTGCAGAAATTATCTTAGGTCAATTAGAAGGAAGATCACAATTAAAAAGTGAAATTAAAAGAGTGAAATACTGTCATTCATGAAAAATGAATATCACTAAATCAACATTCATAATATAACTAGAATACTTTTGGATGTTTCCTTCCAAGGGTCTCAAGTCACTCGATGCTTACATAAAACAAACTACATGATCAAATATTTAGATCTAACTACCCAGTAGAAGATAAGATAATTTATTTTTAGGACTATGGAGGTGGTTTGGAATCATGTGTATAAATAAATTAAAATGTATCTTAAGTATTTTTGAAATTACTACCCAAGGTTTTGAATGTATGGTGACCTTCTAACTATTTATACATCAAATTCAAATATGAAAAGTTCTCAAAATTTTTCAAATCAAAAGTTCTGTGTTCTTTTCATGTTTAAGTAAGGGAAATAAAACACAATGTCAAAAATAATTATCAATAATTTAATTTTATTAGTTCACAACTTAAATTTTTTATTTTGTGCCCATGGCATGAAATTAGGACTTTATCTCAAAATTTCTAATTGTGTGTGATTGCATTCATGCAAAATTTGCCTCATAAGTGAAATAATTAATTTAAAAGCAGTAAGTAAGTTCATATGACAAGAACTAAATAGTTCCCAACATAGAAAGTGATATTTCTGCAAATAAAAATTTGTATTTGCAAAGTTACAAACTGATTTTTAAAATCTGTGCTTTTATGATTGATTTCAGTTTTAAAATTTCACAGTAGTGATATGTTCATCTCTGTGATAATTCTGTCTGTATACAATTTACCTTCCAGTCTATATTCTTAATTACATTATAAACCTGAGATATCAGTATAAAATGACAAAAGGCTCAGTGGACACAACAGAGCAAGAAACAAAGGTGTGGGAATAATGAAGGTAAACAGCCTAGTCTGAAAATATTTAACAGTACAATGCTGACAGTTGGGCTGGGCAGGGTTCAAATCTAATGAAGCACAGCAGACACAGGTCTATAAATAATATCAGGAGTATGAACACGCAAAGCAGTGTTCTCAAAACTTTGGTGTCAATCACAATCACTTGATAGAATTGAAAAAAACAGCTCGGGTCTATCAGAACTCAGAACATAATTTTAATTTTGAATTCTATGGTTTTAGTCTATTTTTTATTTGAATCACTTAAAGATTCACATATATAAAATATAAAAACAAAAAATACATTGAAAAGGAGCTGAGATCCTCCAGATTGTTCACACTCTGAACTTTGATTCTTACAGTAAATATTGGTGCAACTTGACTCCTTCACTTGAAAATAAAAATGTTTCTTTAACACTATTCACTGTCCAGGCAACATTGGTGCATGCCTTTAATCCCAGTACTTGGGCGGCAGAGGCAGATGGATGTCTGTGAGTTCAAGGCCATAACTTTGCAACTTAAGGTAGATTTCTGTTACAGAGGAATCAAGCAATAACTGCTTTCTTCATCTGAGGATGATACAGCTGATTATGAGCAGAAAGTGCTACATGTGAAAAGAGTCAGATCCAAATCATGCTATTAGCAGCTGTGTATAAAAGATTCATTAAAAGAAAGAGTAGGCCTCTGGGTTTGTTAATTAAACATGAACATAATCAACCATCTCAATTATTCAGCCACATTATCTTCATTCTGATTTCGTTAGTCAGTGAGCTAAGTTGCAGAAGTTTACAGACATAAAAGCACATGGTTCTTGACCTCAAGGAGCTGCCAGACTGATCGCACCTGTCAGTTGGGGCTATTTATTAATAACAGTATGTTTCCCAGCTTCTGTTAGTCTTGCTTACCAGATAAATACATAAGACCATTCATCTACTGAGTAATTAAATGTAGGATTATGGGCAAAGGCAATCTCCCTTGAGCACCACAGGGGTGTGTGTGCTCAGCAGAAGACTGATCTCTTTTCCTTAATGCCCACATCCCAAACCTTATAATCTGTGGATAAACCAAATTATATTCCAAAGAGGGATCAAGCCTGATGATGGGATTAAGGCAGTTCATCCAGTGAGATCAAAATAGAAAGGTAAACTTCATAACTTGGGTAAGTCCAGTATCATCAGGAAGACCTAATGTTGGAAGAAACATAGGAAAAGAAACAACTAGGGGTGAAGGTTTGGAGAGGAGCAATGTGGAATAATTCATCTGAGGACAAAGTGAAGAAAGGTGGGTGGGCGTCTATGGAAGCTGCACAAGGAAAGGAAGTGGATTCTCCACCAGAACTATGAGAAGAGAGCATGCTTTGCCCATACCTTGTATTTATTATGCTTAGATCTGATGACAGATTTCTGACCTATAGAAGTCTACATAACTTGTGATGACCCTCCAAATTTGTGATAATCTCCTGTGCTAGCAATAGACATTAATAAGAAACTATGTTTCACTCTTTAAGTCAGAATATTTCAAATTAATATCCACTGAATTTAATTTCAGAATCACTTGGAAATACTTCTGGGACTTTATAGCTTTATTCCACTCTGGTGAGCTCTGAAATCCTCCTGACAGAGCCCATGATGACCCCTGAGAAAAGTCTAGGAAATATTTCTTCAATTTGTGTCACAGACTTGAGAGAATCATAACTACAGATCCTCCCTTTTCCTAGTAAACATAAATAGCCCAATCATTCTGCAGCATTTCCTGGCTGTCAGCACTTAGCCTAATCTACCTGCTTCCATTAGGGAATATAACATGAGTGCCAGATCAGTATCATTGCTCTTAAGGAATTCGGACTTCATAGTGATACTTATATTTATGGAGTCCAGAGGTGTAGTCTTTTTTGTTGTTGTTGTTTTTGTTTTGTTTTGTTTGTTTGTTTGAAACAGGGTTTCTTCATGTAGTTTTGGTGCCTGTCCTGGATCTTGCTCTGTAAACCAGGCTGGCCTCGAACTCACAGAGATCCGCCTGGCTCTGCCTCCTGAGTGTTGGGATTAAAGGCGTGCGCCACCACCACCCAGCCAAAGCTGTCGTCTTAATTTTCACGTGTAAAATGACCTTCTACATCGTTTCTAGTCATCCTTGTTATTTTTCTTTTTGGAAACAATTTCTTTGTATCAGGGAAACACACTGAATTTGCTGTCAGAAAACCAGGCTTGGGTCAGTAAATTGCTTCTACAGTATAGCTCTGTTCACTTGGAATCACTTTCATAATTGATGTCTCCTGTTTTCATTTTCTCAGTGTTTGAGCTCTCTTCACAGAGCAAGATGCCATTTTTTACATATGAAATAACCCTGGCTTCATCTTTTGCTTTCACATGTGTCCAGCCTTCTCCATTCTACCCCTGATGATCCTAAGCTCCCAGGCTAGTCAGCCTGAGTCCTTGGTTCTTACTAAACAATTGAAGCTGAGGAAAGCCATAATGTAAAAGAATGGCTTTTCTTGTGCACTGGGTTGTAATGATGTAGTTTTATGACTACAAGAGTCAGAGGATCTGGCTAGACAAGTGAAACAGAAAGCCAGCCTGTTCCCTATGCAGAGCAAAACTCCACCAGTCAGTTATAAATTAAAAGAGAAGGAAGAGGGTATGAAAAAGAAGACAAGGGAGCTCTTTT